TCTGCTTTCACTTTTGTTTGCTTGGGCCGTCTCTCATCCCAACTTGATAATGAGGAATGCGGTGTGACCCTGACCTCTATCAGCCCATGCGTGACCTTCTGACTCCCCCACGTCACCTTTGACCTTCTCTTTGACAGCTTGATTAATTACCCTGTGTTATGATTTATGAGTAAGTGCTATGTAAAAATAATAGACAACAGGTGGTCCTCTAAAAACTTTTTGTGGCATGTTTTCTTTTCCTGCCTAACTTGATGAGCTATTTTAAGTTGGGAACTTGCTGGGACAATGTGTGTTTGGCAGTAATGCAGCATTTTTACACACTTGGACACAGCACTGGAATTTGGAGAGCTAAGAGTTGAGGTGTAGCTGGGATGAAAATATGGCAAAGTATTAGCAGGGTGCAGTTGCCAAAATGTACATTGGGTGGAAACAGAAAACGGAGTCAACTGACATTTCAGGCGTTTCAGTCTCAGGTCACGTCTTGAGAAAATTGCTCAAATAATGGAGGGGGCATTTTTCAAGCTGAGCTGCATCTCCAACAGCTATGTTTACTTTAACGCTTCACTAGTGACTTCTGATTGGTTGTCATGACCTCATCCCACTGTTGCACCTAGGATGTTGCAACGGTGACATATATGTACCCTTCTCGCGAAAAAGATGGGAAATAAAGAGAACATATATCTTTCAAAAAGATGAATGGACATGGCCGTGTCCGTTTTAACCACGGGCAGGTTTAAGATCTGAACGCTTCAAGTTACATTTCCCTTGGGGATTAACTCTGATCTTGTTGCAAACAATCTGAATAGAAATCTGAACTTGAAAAATCAGGTTGATAAGGCTTAGGAAAATGATCTCTTTCAGACCCTCGCTTGCGGTCCAAAAAGATGGTTACATAGGTCAAAAGATTCCGCTCCAGCCCCTGACCTCCCTGGTCACATATGGTATCCCATCTCCACGGATTAATATGCAGAGCTGAATGCTTCCAGCCACTTATTCATTTGGCCAGGCAGAGGAGATTTCTAAAGATTTGGAATTTACCTCAGATAGTTCAGGGTTTTTTTTGGTTTTGGGTTTCTTGTAACCTTACTCTTACTGTCTGAGGCAAGAGTTTTGATATTTCTTCAGTTTCAAACTTCTCACTCAAGCTTCCAGTAAGAGACAAAAGTGCTATTCCATTTGTGACTTGCATGTTACAGTGAATAAGGCCTTTCTGCGTTTTTCTGACTTTGTAGTAAAGGTATTGTATCTTAGATTTGTGATAGCTGTGATTCTTTCCAACATTTGACTCTTTCAGCTTGCTTCCTTTTGGTCATCATTGGCTGACTAAATCATAAAACAAGTATTATTTGTATTTGTTGCTACTTTGTCAGCCTGAAAGTAGAGTTTGCACACAGTCTTCTACCTTAGGAAGTAGCTATTTGGAGAAAGCTAGTAGATAGTATAGATTACATGTTCCTGTTAGCTTGTCTTGAAGAATTAGAGTTCAAGGAAATATCTGTTAATAGAGTATTTTAGTTTGAAAGAGAAAGCATAATAGTATCCAGCAAACTGAGAGATGAGGGAATGAAACTTAGGTTTATCAGTGTCTATGCTGGTTATTACATCTCATTGCAGATGTGCTAATAGGTGACGCAGATGACCTTGACTTCTGGTTAACATCCACATTCTCTCAGATATGCAGTGCAACGGCTGGACTTGGCTTGTATCCATCAGTTGAAGATCTATGGAGGGTTTTTTTTTTCCTTCAAAGTTTAGCTTTGTACTATAAAATAACTTTGCACTTTACACAGTGGTTTCTCTTTCTGTACGCAATCTGCTATTGCTTGCATTGAACGCATATCTAATGTTTTACAAATGATGACAAGCTTTAAAAATTTTCCTGGATGGCCGTATTTGGTTACAGGGGAGTTTGCTGTATTCAGCATTTTAATAATGCTATAAGCTCATCACAACTGAAATTGAGATTTTTAATGACATTGGGACTTCTAAACAGGACTTTCGTTAAAAAGGTACTTTCTAATGAATGTCGCTTTTGCCTTTGCTAAAACGTAGTGTCAAAGATCACATAGATCACTCGATCATAGATCACTACTATTTTGTCTTTTATTAATGCTTGGTAAGGAACTTTTTATTAAAAAAAAAATTAGTAGTTTTATATGTTCAGTTTTGCATTGACTTGGTCTCTGTCCAACCCTACTGAGTTAGTGGAGAGTCGCACCTTTTTTTATTTTTTTTTGAATTTTCCGTTTGCACCAAAGTTTAATGGTGCAGCTATGCTGCTGTTGTATGCATTTTCTAAGAATAAATTAATCTTAAAAGCAGGATTGTTTACGTAGCTGTTATTTAGGGCTGTTATATAGGGGTCATCTTGTTTTTCCATGTTGTTTTATACATGCTACTATCAATTCTTCTTTCTGGTGCCATTGTTTACATCTTGCTGTTTAGGATGCAGTAATTACAGAAGACAGACAAGGTAAAGAGAAGTATACTGCATCAGGTAAACAAAACAATATGAAAATAGATTATTTTCTTAGGAGAAAGTCTTGGGAACGATAAGATGATCTTTTTCCTCAGTTACGGGAAAAATGGTCTCATTTATTACTAAATTATTATAATTGTAGGAATTGGCAGAAAAAAACAGGGAAAAAATGGGAAAAATAAAAAATAAAAATGGAAATGGAAATAAAAAATGGAAAAAATAAATTTGTAAAGGGAGACATGTTATGCTACTTAAAATATAATTGATAAAAAATCTTTAATTGATTTATGAAACAGTGAATTTAAAAATGGAATCATATTTCATCTGTTGATGTCTATGTGAAAAATTGACATTGTGTCCTCATAAAATTGGACAAATGAGTCATGTAATTTTCAGTTACATAATCAATAACTTAGACAAATTCTACTTCTTTGGTGATTTATGTGTCTGTTTTGTGGAGAGCTTAAAGTGAACACAGAGTTTCAAATTGCTGTAACACTTGTAAACCTGTAATAAATACATGAATTTTGCGTTTGGCGTTGTATAGAGAGCAAAAGGAATCAATATGCGGAACGTCTCTGTTCCAAACGGCCAGGTCAAGAAGATGAACAGCAAACAAAGCGTTCCCTATTGCGCGCTAAAACCACCAAAGCGCTTCATACAAAGAATCGCGAAACTCAGTCCCGCTCTGTAGTTAGCAAGCTCAAAAATCATGCTTTAATCTGAGGCCGTTTCTAAATAGATGTGCTAAGTGGTGCTCTCCTCCGTGTTAGATAACGGGTTTGAGTTTTTGAATTTTTTAAGTGGGAACTTTTAAAATTTGAATAGTGGAGGATTTTCTTCTACTAATTTATAAGACATCCAGTGTCAGCCTGGGTAAATTCTAAAGTATGTTTTCTTTTGTTTTCCGTTTTTCCTTGCTCCCCACCCTGGCTTATTTATTTATTTATTTCAGCTCAATTCACTCAGTAGGGAGGGCAGGGAAGAAACATGACAGGAGACCACTTACTCATGGTGCAGAGCCTAGTAAGGAGGCAATTTTCTCTTTGGCCTATGGTGACCTTTTTTGACTATGTTCCTTACACCAGAGACAGTGTACTGAATGCCTCTATTTCACCCTGTTTAGCAGAGTGCAACAGTGTCCTTTAACTTAGTTTTGGTGGGAGGAGAAGCTCTAGCAGAAATTTGAGAAGGGCGTGAAAAGTTGTGCCGGCACAAGGAAGAGGGGTAGGAACTTCCTTCAAATGTGATTTTAATAACTAGTCGAGTGTGTCCAACTGTAGAAAATCACCAAGTGACAATCTGTCTACCTGACAGTGATCACAATGCGTTACAAGATTTTTGAATAGCTCGACAGATTAGAATAAAGCAGGTCCAAATAAAGTATCTTTTGTTGGTATAGATTTGGTTTACTCTGGTCAGCTAGGTGTGCAGGCTTCTTTGATCTTCTGGCCTAGCCTAAGTGCAAAATTAAGCATTAAATAAAAGGCTAGAATAAAGCTGTTTAGTTAGATAATTAATATAGACATGTTCAAAAAGTAAGTCTATTTCAAAATTTGCTTTTACAAGACAGCTTGATTTTCGCTGCAACCCATGGTAACTTTGAGGGCTCATCTGTTAAATGCATGTGCTTTTCTTTTCTCCCTGCGTTTACAATTATAACATTCACAAATATTACAATTGTTATAAGGGTTGCCGTCATTTAAAAATCATAATAATAAAATAATTAGCTGATTAAGTCAGGGTTTGTGTCTCATTCATAAATTCCTGCATTTTGCAACCAGCTCATTTTGTGAGGCACAAAAATGCAGCTGGTATGTTCAAAAGCATCCTGCAGGTCACAAATTTTCTCTGTGTTTTTGAATGCAGGACATAATCCCAGTGAAGTTTTAGAGCAGATTTAAAGGGGTACTTAAAAGTCATCCCCACAGTAAGAGAGTTAACTTGTAAGCAATAGCAGTGAATCAGTTTTGGTATAGATTCATTGTTACTGCCACTATTGGTTTGTGCATGGTATGCTTGTTGTCAGCTAGACAAAAGGTTTTACTATTTTAAATTGTGCTGAATAGTTTTATTTAATATACATATGAAATCATTCCATCCTTTCTGTTATAAAGGATTTTATTGGTTGAGCATAAACCTTTTTATTCATCATTCTGGAGAATTCGTATAATATTTTGCTTTCATTTCTAGTACTTTTTTCTGGAAAAAGTCATATAACATGCTTATGAATAACAACAATATATTAAATCATATTACAGGTAAAATAGGCAACTTTTCTAAAGCTGAGGTATGTGTAGATGCATAAAGGAGTATGCAAACATACATTCACATATCAATATTCCTTTAATGACAAAAATGAAAGCAGAATATTCTTAAAATATTCTGAAAATTATGTTATGTGGACTTACTGAAATAAATAAATACATTTTTAAGAGTCTTAAAGTAAATTCAAAGCATTTTCAAGTATTAAATCTCCCTTTTCATGTGCTTTTTTTTTTTTTGGTCTCTTCTAAAACAGGAAGGCTATGGAGTAATAGTACTGAATCCCAATGAGAACTATATTGAAGTGGAGAAGACAAAAGCCCAAGTACAGCTGTCTTCTGATAGCTCAGATGAACCTGCAGAAAAGAGAGAAAGAAAAGATAAAATCCAGAAGGAAACAAAGAAGCGACGTGACTTCTACGAAAAGTATCGAAATCCACAAAAAGAAAAAGAAACAGTGCAGATGTATATTAGAGTAAGTTCCTGTTAGTTTTGTGTGCGCTTCTTGAATAATGTATATACGTGTTTACCGTCCGTATTAGCTAATAAGTACTATGCTTTTTTTTTCTCTGACATAAATACATTACTTAGATGGCGTTCAAGAGTTCATTCAAAGTGCCTGACTTTTTATTCTGTTGATTTTTTTTTTGTCATTTATTGAATGTGAAGATTTGGAAGAGTTGCAAAACATTCCTTTTTAATTTCAAAGTGGAACTTTAAATAAAGCTCAGAGGAACTCACTGGTGCTATCAAGACAGAGAATGATTTAAGGAAGACTTTGTAAAAATGATTTTATAAACAGAGGTGTACATAAGAAACTTTCTGCTGCAGCTTAGGCAACGTGTTAGCTTCACAACACGCCATGCGTGCATTTATTGTATTATATTGTCTTATATTGGGAAGGCTGTTGTTATAGCCTGATAGTTTTTAACATATTACCTGCTGAATTAATAATGTATTGTGGAAAATGCCGGTGTTCATCTTGTGTGGTAGAAGACTTACGCTATAATGTATTGTTTTCATATGAGCAGCCATCCATTGTGTTACAGCTAAACTTCTGAAGGCAGATAAAGGAGGAGAGTTATTAATATCTTAATAAATATTTAAGCTAGAATAGTTCGAGAATGGTGTAATGAGGAAACTCTCTCCCTTGCTCTTTTCTTACTCAGTGAACCTTTGCACTTTGTAATGCTACCAGCATGGGATCGTTATAGCAGTGCTACCCGAGGATTTCTAATTCTGCAGGGGGCACAAACAATATTATTTGCACTTTGACACATTCTGCTTCATATACATACTATGCATTATACATTCTAGACTGAGTCATGCAATTTTCAAAGCCCTTATTAGGAAAGTTAGCATTTTTGTTCAATGGTAAAACATGTCAGAGATGCCACAGTATAGTTAAAACACTAAAAATGTGTGTGCCTTTCTAGTGTGAAATTGATAACAATCCGGCAAAACAGATGTTAGAATCATTTTAAATTTTAACATGCTCCTATTAACTATAGTTTAAAGTAACAATAATTTGTAGGAGAAGTACAGCTTTACTAGCTAGCTACAGATTCTGTAACCTGGCTGTGAGAATCGTTAATATCATAAAATGTTATTGTATCTTTTGAGAAATGTCTCACTACTTAGTATATGAAACAACAGGATGCACGTATATATATTCAAAGTTCAACAGGGCACTTGTTTTTCCTAGTTGTTGCTTTTTTTTATGAGATAAGCCATTCTGCCCACCAGTCCGTTCCTACCTCTTAGGAGAGAAAACCAGGCAAGGGTGCATCAGAAGCTAGTGGATATTGTATATTCCAGAAATGCGTGTAGTCATTGTGCTGGTCTAGTATCCCCTTGTTGAAAGTGAACTTTTTTTTTTTTTTTTAAAGCAATTCCACCTTCTTGTGATCCTCTTGCTTGAGGATATTTGGCTTCAGGAGGTTTGACCCCCAAAATACATAAAATGCATGACTCCATACTGTTTTCTTTCTTATGTGAATGTAAGCCTTAAAGATGACTGTTGATATTCCCTTTATTCTGTTTTCTTCAAACCAAGGAGGCCAGTAGAGTAAGTTTTAGTGAAAGTGTATGTGGTGGTCTCCTTTCCTTGATGAATTAACTGAAATTGGCTGTTCTGGTGCAACTGGTGTTGTATTTTGAAAGAATTTTCCTTTGTTCTTTGTTTAGTAGGCTCTAATACAGTGAGTTTTTTTGAAGCGGAAAGACATCCCTGTATTGGTACATGGCAGGATAAATTACTGCAGTGCACTTGCCTATCATTTTCTGAAACAAAACCGGACTACCTTTAGGGTACCATTTACTCTGTTGGACAGAACTGTGGCAGGTGGTTGCGAGGGGGGCGGTGAATTAGCTTTTCCTTTTCTGTGGACACAGGTGTGTTAGTCCAGCCACACGTAGTACGTAGCAAGCAAAATGGTGCAATGCCATATTTATGTATTTTTTGCCTGTCGCGCTCAGGCATGTAGGATTATGCACGCTCCAGAAAGCACCCTTTGGTTGCTGCCTGGGACTTGCTTCCAGGTTTATCTTAGCCATAGGCTGGTATGAGGTGTGGTATGGAAGCTGGCTGTGGGTACTCTCAAAGGGCAATTTAGATGTGAGTTTTATTTTTTCTATGGTACAGACTGCCTTTGACTCCCTGGGCTCTTGAAGAAGTGAAAAAACATATTGTCACTCCACAGAAATACTAGGGGATGGCGTCTACTGTGGTAGTAATATCATTAAAGAGTTTTGAAGTGCTTCAGTAAGCCTTATGCCACCTTTGCCAAAAAGGGCAAACTGCTGCGAAGAGACTAGGTGAAAACTTTGGTTTCCTCACAAGGTTGTGGCAAATACCTTCACTGAAATACAAACAAGCAAAAAGAAAAGACATCCACAGCGCCTGATATTGAAGGAAAATCTGTTTGTGTCAAGCATACTGGAAAAATGTTTTAAGACTGTTCATAAGTAGGAACAGATAGTGACCCTAAGTGAACACAAATCAGGTTAAGATCTGTTGTGACTGTTGAGGAAATGCGTTTTGAAGGAACTAAAGCTGTGTGGATGCTGCTCTACCTTGCGTAGCTAGCCTTTTCCAAGATTTGGAAAAATGCAAACATTTTCTTTAAGTATTTTCTTTACTTTCATAGAGAAATACAAATAGCTGAGGTATTCAAGAATAAGAGCAGAGCCTTAAAATATAAAATCTCAAATTATACTGTATTTTCAAACAAAATGAATATAACTAAAAATGACTCTCAGATGATGTGTAGTGTATTAACTTAGTGCTTGAAAGATCAAAGTACTTATTGTTTCGTGCTGTAAGTTTCCTTAACTATGAAATAGTGTACTTTCTGGCATACATTAAAGCTTGTTAAAGGGACTGATTTGGTCTGGGCAATAAACATCATGTCAAACGTTATGGCAGAAAAACCTGCTTAATATGTTTTGTAATAAGACAGAATTTTTTGTTCTTGAAAACATCTGCCAACTGAATTCAAGAGTGAAGACAGAAAATGTCATCAATTCAGCAACAGTCTTACAAATTTGGTTTCCTTTTGAGCAATACAAACCAAGAAAAAAAACTTCTTGGTAGTCAGCACTGACTATAATACTTGCTAGAATGATTAAACAAAAACATCTTACTTTTAATAATGTGTTAATGAATGCATAATGGATTTTAATATTCTTACTCTTCAGATTTTAACAAGCATGTTGCCAGCAGATCATTTTTAAAAGCATCTGGTTTTTAACGTGTTGAATTGAGAATTGAATCAAATAGCTAAATATGTACGTGTGCTTTTAAAAAACATATTTCTATCCCTGCTTATAGATATTACCTAACATTTTTTCTTAGACCACCAGAGGCTGCTGCTGTACACATTGGCTAATGCTTCCCCCAGAAACTTAGTACCCTAGCCAACCTTCATTTATTATAACCTTTTTCTATGGAAACAGAACATAAGGACTTAAAATTGACTTGATTATTCTCTCCATCCTCCAAGGCACCTCCCACTCCCCGCAGATTCTCACATTGACAATGTCTTCTCTATGTTACAAGGCACTTAGAAATATAAATCAATATTTATCCCCTTCTAAATAGCATGCACCACTTAAACAGGTATACTGAATGGATTCTGAAATGTTATTAAAGAAAAAATATAAATCTCTTAATTTTATAACAACAGTAATTTATAATAATGTCGCCATTGCCACAAGAATTAAAAGATATCAAAGAGGCAAGTACTGTAGGAAGAAGATATTTCATCAGACCAACTGATGGGGTCAAGTTTTCTGGACAAGAGGGATAAGCTTTTGCTAGGCCTGGAAATTTTGTCATTTTTTTTCATTAAGGTTAACTGTTTAATGAAGATAATTCTTGCTGCAAATTTTATTTTTGCTATGTTACAACATATAACAGTGCAATTTAAACCAATAGCATATCAATGGAATTAAATTGATTTTAGATTTTTTTATTTTTTCATAAATAATTTTTCTCACTTTCCATAAGAGATTGCAAAGGAAAGACCATGTGCAACTATTTAATTCATTTGGCTAGAAACAAATGTATCAGGATAATTGTACCAATATTTAGAGAAAGTGATAACAAGCAGGTTTATTAATGCAAGGTTAAATGCTTAGTAACTGCTGGTGGGCAGGAAATCCTGGCAAGAGTGTAAGTGCCATTTCTGCTTATTGTTCTGCAAGAATGCCACAAGACATTGCCTGCCTTAAGGTCACAGCAGAGTGTCTGCTTGTGCATGCTGACCTTTAAGTGCAGCAGATTTCATTCTGAAGATTGAGGTTTTTCCTGAACAAACTAGCTTCACTTCCAGCTAGCTGCCTTGGGGATGGCTGCGTGGTCGTTCTTGGACAGATGCAGGCTCCCTTTATCTGCACTGTGACTTGGCAAGGCGTGAGCCTGCTCTGATCCAAAACCTGTGCGACTACATTAGTGTGCTGCTGAGCCCAAACTAATAAGCCCTTTAGTCCACCAGCAGAGACAAAATGGTAAGTGTTAGACAAACAACTCCCAAGAGATCAAGCGACATGCTCAAGTTCAGAAAAAGTCTGTGGCAGAGTTGAGAATAAGAGCTCAGTTATCCAAAGTGTCATTCGAATGTTTATATGATAAGAGCTTTTTTCCCTATTATGAAGTCTTAATTTCTGATTTATTTTGCCTGTACAGCTGAAATAACCCGTGATATCAGTTTGCCCAGATTTATATTTCAAAGCTGCTTATTTCCTTTTGGTTTTGTGAGTTCTCTTTCACTTCTAAGCAACAGCAAAATCATCCTGACAATGGAAAACTTAGGAGAGCTACTTAGAAACTTCTGTGGCTTCTGTGGTCTTTCCTCCGCATCCCATTAGACTTTCAGAATTAGAATGAAAGAAACAACCAGACTGCAATTCAAGTTCTGGGCACAAACGCCTAGTGACATATTAGATACTCTGTGGTATTTGGGACACCTGCAG